GATAAAAGGATACAAACTGAACTCATCTTAGCTACTAGTGCAAAGGTTTCCAAATAATCAACACCATAGGTCTGAGTATACTCTTTTGATACCAACCTTGCCTTGTACCTCTCTATCTTGCCATCGGCCTTATACTTCACTGTGAATACCCATCGACATCCGACTGTCTCCTTGTTTGGGGGGAGATCAGCTATTTCCCAAGTTTGGTTTTTGACCAAAGCATCCATCTCATCTTGCATGGTTGTTTTCCACTCAAGTTTGGAGAGAGCCTCTGTAACATTCCTAGGTATAGACACAGAATCCAAGGAAGAAAGAAAAGCACAGTAGAAGGGTGATAAGGCATTGTAGGAAAGATGGTGTGAAATGCAGTGGGCTGTACACTTTCTCTTCCCCTTACGAAGTGCAATGGGAAGATCAAGATCAGTGGGATCAGCTACAACAATGGTGTTAAGGACAGAAACATTATCATCAGAAAACATAACAGGCTCAAGAGGAATACTTAGAACTGTATCTGCCGAATTTGGAGTTTCAGAAGGACTGATAAAGAGTGGTGTGGGTCGAGGATGTATGGAGTCAACCATCATCTGCCAGCGCTGATATTGTTGTGAGGCTACCCATAGTGGCTCAGGTAATGAAACTGGAGGTGCAAGTGCTGTCTGAACTAATGGTGCAGGTGGTGGCTGAACTGATGTAGATGCCGGCTAAACTGATGAAGACACCACAGAAACAGGAAGAGGAACAGATCGTGAGTTCCCCCCAAAACTCTCCCCCTGAGGAGAACCACTCGAGAACAAGAATGTAGATTCAAAAAAGGTAACATCCATAGTGACAAATCTACTCCTCGACACTGGGTCATAACAGCAATACCCCTTTTGGTTCTGAGCATTCCCAAGAAAAACAAGTTTCTTGGCCTTAGGATCCAATTTCTTGCGATGAGGGCCAAGAATGTAGACAAAAGAAACACAACCAAAACCCCTCAGAGGTATATGAAATATCTCTCCATCTGGAAAAAGAAGGCTAAATGGCACCTTAAACCTCAAAGTCTATGAAGGAACACGGTTAATCACATGTACGGCTGTAAGAACTGCATCTCCCCAAAACTGCACAGGAATTGAAGCACATACCATAAGACTCCTTGCCACTTCCACAATATGTTTGTTTTTCCTCTCAGCAACTCCATTCTGTTGCGGTGTATATGCACAACTGCTCTGATGAACTACACCATGTTCTAAGAGATACGTGGTTAGATCCTTCTCAAATTACTCTTT